AGAATAACCACAGAAAGAAATAAGTCAATAGTTAGTTTTAAGTGATCTATAATATTTTTTTCTTATGGATCGCCATGTATTTATTTTGTAAGAATTGTAAGAGCATTATTCTGTTTTTCTGTCGCCTCTTTTAATAATTTTATAATAAATATCTTGATTAGGTTATTCCTCATAGTGTATGTAATCAGTTTGTATTTATTTTTAATTTACTCGTATATTGATTACTACATTGACTAATAAATTGATTAAGAAAACACCAATGTTTTTAAATATATAAAAATACTCAGTAATAATGATGAATTTAAAACCAATTCTACTTTCTTAGTATTACAGTTTCATATAAAACACGGATAAAACCGCCAAAATTCGTAAAATAATGTTTGATATGCCGATGTATCGTGAATAGTTTCGTCGAATATTGTTTTATGTATCCTTAAGACATCTCATTCAATATTTTTTTTGGCAAAAGAACGTTGTATGTGCACATGCGACCCATTATACTTGAAAAGGCATAGTTTATAAAACAAATAATTATATTATCATAAACGGTACTAACTTCTGTGCATACTGTACAAATATTAAGTAGCTAGTATCATTTATAACAGATTTATAAGCAAATATGTGCGCGCGAAATTTATAATCGCTCTACTGAAAAGTCGACAATTTGCAAATAGAACATTATTCTACTAATGGGACGATATGATCAGAGGTAGTGGAATATGGTGTTGTTTCTGATGTATTCTTGGATGTATGATCCTTCGAGCAGTCCGTATCGACGGCTGAGCGGTTTGCTGTGTGTCCACCGAGCTACCAAGTTCTCTGCAGGAGCTGGTTTGTCTAGCGGCACCATATGACCAGCTCCTCGGAATACGACCTCAGTCAAACGACCACCAGTTTTGTGATACCTGGAAATAAAAGATTGTTTTATCATCGGATGTCACCATCGCTTTGCTTTGGTCGATTTTGACGAGTGAGGACTTGTTTATCAGATTATCCAACCATGTCATTACAAAATGTAAAAGATCCAAAGTCGAACTATTTGTTGGACATCGCGGTATATTGTAAGGTATGTACCGTTTATTAAATAAACTAGCGACCCGTCCAGCTTCGCACATGTGCAATATACATGTAACATACATATAAACCTTCTTAAACTTCCTTAAGAATCACTCTATCTATTAAAATAAATCGTATCGAAATCCGTTGCGTAGTTTTAAAGATCCAAGCATACATAGCGGATAGCCACTTTTTATACTATGTAGTGAGTAATGATAAATGTCGCCATCATTAGCCAGAAGTCATCTGCTTATGGCCTATACTAAATATCCAATATTGGCAGGCGCAAAAATTGAAAATTTATTAACCAAAAATTTGAAAGAGGCAGCAGATTTATTTATACATTGAGTACTATTATTATTTTATTCCACTAATTGAACTTGTAATACTATCTTGTAGAAAAATCTAATATTTGAGCCAGGGACCTTTGATCCTTAATTGTGTACACTATCTTTAAAATTAAATTAACATTATCTACCCTTATAGTCCGGTCAATTTAGACATTCGAAGTTACATAAAGTCCCAACAAGCTGAATTTTTGTGAAGTTGTTCAAAACATAATTACAAACAATGTCTAGAAGTTCCCCATCATTCCCCTGTAAGGAAAAAATTTAATTCAAGGTCAAAGGTCAAAAAAATGAGTTTTTCGCGATTTTCAGCAAAACGGTAAGTTTTATCATAAAAGTACCTCTGACAAAAATTGTAGATCATAAAATTATCTATAAAAAAGTATTAATACTTTTTTCTTACAAGCCATCGTTTCTGAGATATAATGATTCTAAAAGTTATAAAAGTTGTTATCGTCATAATAAATGCACACGTTTCCACGCCACCTATGAGGTAGTGTACTTAGCGCGTTTTTGTTAACGTCCCCCCCCCC